GTCAAGAAGACAACTTCCAACCAATAAACAACTACAAACCATGGAAGTGCAGTATTAAGAGTTTAAAAAATCACATACTGCGTACCACAATATCTTATGTGTATATGCTTTGGTTTTTTTGTGTGCAGGCACAAAGTGCGGTGCCTGATGTTACCCCGCTCTAACTCTAACCCTGACGTTGCGTGTCTACCGCGACGCCTGTACATTGCCAGGTATTCCACGCCTCGAACAACGGAGTATTTTCAGGCATGAATATTTTCTTTTTTGAGAGTATACATATCCGATTCATATCAGTTCGAAACGCTAGCCAATATCACAACCATCAGAACTTTCTCTTAATTGTGTACGAGGATTTTTGCCCCGTTTTTTGCAGATGTTTTGAAGGAAGGAATGAGTTTGTCTTGGGCGAATCAATTTGCAAAAACTGCGCTTAAGACTGCCCAGCAGAAGATTGATAGTGTTTTAGACATTCGACCTGGAGATGAGGTGCCATCTTCTGCGGCGGAGGTAGGATAATTATCCTTTCTAGAGGTTCAGCTGAATCTGTTATCTTTCTCATTCTATTTTGTCCTACCATTGCTTAGTCTTGTACATCATCTTTCAGCCTGCTGTTAGCAGCGAGTCGCTTGAAACAGCTGTAGCGCTTCTGGATACTTCAAATGAGGTACTGCATCTAGTTTCTCAACATAGTTTTCCAAAGCAGCTCATTTTGCGTAACCATCTAGGTTGCCCCAGCCCCCTCTACTTCTTCTGCCGTAGGCGAAGGATGGACTAATGCTTGGAACAGTTTGTCTTCTGATCGTGAAGTAATTTTTTACGATTTTCAAAACTTTATGCATCCTGCTATAGTTTACATTCTAAATCATTTTACAGCTTATTGTGGACTCTGAACCAAATCCGATTCGTGACGAGTGCCCTCAAGCATCCGCAACCTTGTTCGATCATTCACCCTCTTCGGTCCGTCAAGTTCCTCACCATAAAATACTTTTCGTTGATCGCATTTGCGTGAGTTACACTTTAGAACTCATCGGAAGGCACAAATAATGGGCAATCTCAGAAGATTACTAGTTCTGATGAAAACAAAAGTGTGAGTTGTTTGCTTCTCGTATATGGTCCCACTATTTTTGTATTCAAATAACAAAATTCGCGCTCCAAGGTTTCACATTTATTCTTGAGTTTAAATGCTAAGTACATACTGATTACAAGGACGTTGGAACGTTCTACTAGCCTCAAAAGATACCAAACTTGAAACCTACTAACCCTAAGATTTTCAGTGCAAAAATACTTTAAGATTGTCACTATTTGCCATAAAAAATGTCTTTATTTAATTCCCATTTAATCATATAACAATTGCAAATTTTATAATCGTTTAGTCAACAGCGTTGAGTTATTATATGCTTAATGAACTTAAACTAAACTACTATGTTTTTACGCTGTGTGACGAGTCTGCTTCAGAGCAAATATGCGCAACGTTGATTTGTGTGTTCTCTTCTCACAAGTTTTTATAACAGAAGCCCACTTCTACTCGAGCGCATTGAATTTTCTTTTTTTGCTTTCTCATACATTTTCCATCAATTTTCCAATGTATCTAGCACAACTGACTATGCAATTCTATTTCTTAACACTTCTGAAAGCGTACTTTTCACAGTCGCCGTCCTTGCACACTTGAGATTCAAACTATCCATGAGTAGGCCCTTTACTTACTTGAAACATATGTGTTATTCTTTGTGCAGCTGTCTTACTTTGAATTTCAGATTGAAATAAGCAATGTTGAAGATTCTGTTTATGTTGATGTTGATTTATCCGTACCTTCGCCTGATGAGAATCAGTTTGCTTCTTCCTCCGAAACAATACAAGAAGAAAATGCTCTTCCTCGTGAGTTCTCTTTTCATTTCACCTTCTGATGTGCTAGGAATTACTCTCGTTCAGTGGCACCAAACTTATTCTGATTTTTAGCCTTGCCAGATATCGTTCTTCGTAACTCGTACCAAGATGATTCGTTTACCGTTGCCTCCAGTGATATTGAAGTAATTCGCAACGTGGATGCGTGGTTTGTACTTACTTTCCCTGAACAAATTTCTAAACTCTTTACTAACATCATGATTTCAGTTCAATTGCTAGCAGCAGACCAACGACCGACCACATGCCTTTCCCCTTTTCCACTTCTAAGGTAGTTTTCATACCGAGCCGATAACTGTGTTGATTAATGGCAATTTTAGAGTGATTCAACCGAGTCGTTTCGCGCTCAGCTGCTTCATGCTGAGCAACGTAGGAATGAATTGAAAGCTGCAAACGATACTCTTCAATCAAATAATGCCCAACTTCAACAAAGAATAGTAGTGTTGAATCAGCAGTCAGTTTATCTCAACTTTTCTTTTTCTTCTTTATTTGGCCATCATTTCTCTAATTTTTTCATATGTTATTCCTCAATCTCATATTGTACTTTTGTCTTGTTTATTTACTTGCAATTCGTAGATAACAAGCTAGCTTGCGGAAACAGATGAAAAAGTAAGGGTATGAATGATTTTAGTAATGTTCTATGCCTGGCTAATCTATGCAATTTAATGGACTACAGTCAGAGTTTGCGAAATGCATGTCGTCGCATAGGAACTTGCGAGTCATTATCAAACTTAAGCTTGCTAGTGTTAGACTAAATTTTTTTTGGATACACTATATTTTCTCGTTGAAATATGTCTTTCGACAACTTAGGATATTCAGGCTTGAGCGAATTAGTGTTTTGCAGAGACTGCACCGTGATTTTTGCACGCGCTTCTATCTTTTCATGTATAACTAGTTAGATCTTGCTATCTCATACTCATCGTATGCACTCCGGAAATCAATACAAGAGCTGATTTTTGGCTTGTTTGTAGGCATGTTGCGTTTCAATAAGTGGACATAAAGTGATGAACATAGTTAGTATACTTCTGACTACTGAGCTTTTCTTAAGTCGCACAGAATAATACGTGACCCCTACGTTGTTATTTTACCGCGTCATTCTTGCACAGGGTACGTGAAGAATGCTTAGCAGCTTAAAAGACCTTTGCTACCTACAATAG